AGACTTAAGAGATGGATGATGTTTACCTGGCCCGTATGAGCTGAGAACCTGTGCGAGGGCCCAGACCTACTCCTCCATTAGGGGAGTTCTTCCTGACCAAGGCTGGGGAGATGGAAGTGGTCCTCTGGGGAACCTGGATACACACAAATACACATAGACAAAAGGTCACCGTTAATGGTACAACTTTGCTTTTAATCCCCCAGCAAGCAGTTCATACGTAGAATGTTTTTTGATTATTATATTGTTAATAAAGTTGCATGTTTGTATAGTAGAAAATAAATTCTAGCACATTTAACTGTGGGCAGTGACACTCTAAATACTCTGCTACTGAGTAATCAACTGATCAACTGTCAGCTAAGCCTGTCCTAGTTAAAGATGCCAGCTAAGTCTCCCACATACTGCCAGGTAACTGCAACTGACGCATCTCACACCATTGTGTGTCATTTCTTGTGTATCAACGCCAGCAACCGTTTAAAACGGATTAAACCTTTCAAATCTGTGTGAAAACACTGTGTGCAAAGTTACACATCAGCCACTTTGTAACCAAACAATTAAGAAAAACTAAGTTTAATTAAATCAGTATTGAAATATGATTTCCATGATGAGGTTTGTGTTTAATTTGATGCAAAGAGCATATTTTCATAACTAAATCAAATGAATAAGAAATGTAAATGCACAAAACAAATAGTTTCCGGAACTAACAGATTTTTTATTTTCTGACCTTGGGTGGGATGTCCTCCTCTCTCAGCCAGGCGGTCCTGTCCCTATCCCTGTCTCTTTCCCGTTCCCGATCCCGTTCGTCCCTGCCAGTGGTGCGCAGTGGAGGTCCAGGGGTGTCGGAAGTGGGATCTGAGTTCTGGCGGGGCATCTCGGGCCTGGGGGAGCCCATGCTGACACCCTCACTCAGAGCTGAGCCTGTCTGGTCCTGCAGAGACTGAGAGCCGGACATGGAGCTGGTGTGGGTCTTCACTGGAACCAGGTGAGCCATCTGTAGGAGTGAGAAAGCAAAAGACAGAGGGAGAGATGAAGGGGACGAGTCGGGTGGATGGGAAGAGGTCGATGTATCGGTTAGAGGAAAGAAAAAGGAGCAAAGAGAGAGAAGGATGGATGAATGGAAAAATATGTATGGACAGAGCCAGTCCATAAGGGGAAGGAGGAAAGGATGGAGACCCAAACAAATATAAATCCAAATAGGGAGAGAATGAGGGAGAAAGAGGAAAGAAATGAACAGAATGAAAAACACAGTAGGGTAAGGAGAGGAGAAAATACAGACAGAAAAGGGAATGGTGGGATAGAGAAATGAATGAGAAAATTAGATTGACAGATACCGATACATTATCTTTAATAAAGGAGTTCATGGTACAAGGAGCAAATAGTTTTTGTTTGGATAAACTGGTCACTAGGAAACACACCAAACATTCACATGCCTCTTTTCCACACACGTACAAACACACACACACACCTGTGGTTCGATGGAGCGGTGGATGGGTGGGGTGCGGGCGGGCTGCATGCCCCCACTGCTGAAGGACTCGGAGCGGGGAGGGAGGGAGGGGTCGGAGATGCGGTTGGACACTTTGTGCTG